AAGTAAACTGATTCAATCCCTTGGAAATTAATTTGGAAGCTTATTATAAGAGATACACAATTTTTCAAACCTATTAATTCTTCTTCTGGGAACTTGTACTTCAAATTTATCCTAAATAAGACAAATGCTTTATGTAAAAACATCTTTAATACGGTGCTAAGTATAATAGTGAAAAAATGTAAGCAATTTTAATGTTCAGCCCAGAATTTATTGATTAAAATCTAATACCTGCAATCAATTCAATATTTCATAGACAATTTAAAAGGCACACATAAATATCTTATGTCAAAATGGAGGATATATTTTGTTTATTGCTAGTTGTTATTTGCTCATCCTGATAGCATCTTCAACAGCTTCTTACCTGGTTTTAAAGGAGCAGTGGTTAAAGCATTGGACTGCTAACTGAAATCTTGGTGGTTTGAAACCACTAGTGGCTCTGCAGGAAAAAGATGTGACAGTTTGCTTCTGTAAAGATTTACAGTCTTGGAAATCATATGGTGTCACTATGAGTTGGATTTTTTGGTTTTTATCTTGTTTTATCTCTTTTTTATTAGAAAACTAACAAAAATGCAAAATAAGTAAGTAAACATAACCCATAACCCACTAATTTATAAAATTATCATATAAAGTGGATGACTTTCCCACCATCGAAAATCCAGTCTCACTGATATTTTTAAATGTTACAGATTCCTCCTAATTTTTTTAAAAATAGTACATTCCTCATTTTGTATTTGTTGTTATCTCCTGACTGATTTGAGGTTATACATTTTCAGCTGGAACACTGCATAAGTGATACTGTGTCCTTCTCAGGGTCTCACATCTGGAGATACACGCCATACACCTGTCCTTCATTGATAATGCTTTTTTTTTTTTTTTAAGTGACTAAACTAAGTGGAAATTTATTTCTCTCTTATATAAATGAAGTCCAAAAGTAGGGAGTCCAGAACGGCGCAGTAGCTGTATGTTATTACTATCTTTTTCCTTGTGACTTCCATTCTCAAGGTAACTTCATGGTCCTATATTGCTGCTGGAGCTCCAAATATTACATCTGCATTCATGATAATGAAAGAAAGAAGGGAGGAAGTGCTTAGCCTCTTTCTTTTAAATAGCCTTCCCAGAAGTCTCATTTTACAATTCCAAGTATATTTTTGTTTATGGTTTCTAGATAGCAAAATCTGTCACTTTAAAAAAAAAGTTTACTTTTATTGTTGATAAATTGAGAATATGCACAGCAGAATATACACTAATTTAACAATTTCTACATGTACAATTCATGACACTGATTACATCCTTTAAGTTGTGCAACCATTCTCATTCTCCTTTTCTGAATTGTTCCTCCCTCATTAACAAGCTGACTGCCCCCAAGATTTCCTATCTAATCTTTCAAGTTGTTGTCCATTTGATCCCATGTAGATAGTTCCTAAAAGAGCACAATGCTCAAGGCAGATATTCTTTACTAGTCAAGCTACACTATTTTTTGGTTTTAAGAAGACTCAGGGGATATTTCTGGTTAAGGTTTAAACATGATCTCAGGGCAATAGTTCTGGGGGTTCACTCAGTATCCATGGCTTCAGAAAGTCTGAATTTGATTAGAATTTTAAAATTTGTTCTGCATTTTCCCCCTTTTCATCAGGATTCTTCTGTAGAATCTTTGATCAAAACATTCAGTAATAAGTAATAGTAGCCAGGCACTAGAGGGGGAAAATATTATAAAAGTCATTATTCAGTCAACTAACAAAATTCGAATATGAAGGTAGAATAAATAAAGTATTGTATAACGTAAAAAACAAAAACAATCTAATCTCACTTTTCCAGAGGTGACAACTCTTAGCAGTTTGTGAGTGGTCTTCCTGACTTTAAGATCATATGATATATGTTGGTCAAAATCATAGGATACAAAATTGCTTGTGTTCCAAATACATGACTATCCCTAGAGCAGTATGTGTACATATAAACTCACTGTTGTCAAGTGAATTCTGACTCATAGTGACCTATAGGACAGAGTAGAATTGCACCATAAGGTTTCCAAGGCTGTAAATCTTTACAGAAGCAGAATGCCACATCTTTCTCCTGTGGAGCAGCAGGTGGGTTCGAACCATCCACCTTTTGGTTCACGGCCAAGTGCTTAACCAGTGTACCACCAGGGCTCCTTGTGTATACAAAGGCATATAAAAAACTAAGAATAAAATATTTGCAATGGATACTGGGATTATGTTGATTCCTGAACTTTCTTCAATGTAATTATAATGACTCTATAAATCTGTATACTATGTAAGGAAAAAAAATTCCCTGTAACATAACCAAAGATTAAGATAAAAATTAAAGCAATATGATTTAACTAATTAAGAATATTTTTCTGCAATGGTTGTTATATTATACAACAAGGAAAAAGACGACCAGCATAGTTTTAAGGATTTGTCAGAGGAAGAATGGTGCCAAGATAGCACTAAGATCTAGAGTAAATTTACATTATCCAAGGCAGTGCCTTCATTCAAATTATGTACAACATCCTGAACACTATCAGATATCAGCAACTGCTGAGTCATTATTCATATAAACGTTAAGATAGACCATTTGTCTTATTTATCTAGTGCCATTATAACAGAAGTACTGTAAGTGGATGGCTTTAACAAACAGAAATTTGTTCTCTCACAGTCTAGGAGGCTAGAAGTCTGAATTCAGGGTGCCAGCTCGAGAGGAAGGCTTTCTTTCTCTGTCAGTTCTGGGGGAAAGTCCTTGTCATCAATCTTCCTCTAGGTCTAGGAGTTTCTCAGCACAGGGACCCTGGGTCCAAAGAATGTGCTATTCTCCTGGCTCTTCATTCTTGGTGGTAGGAGATCCCTTTCCTCTCTGCTTGCTTCTCTCTCATACCTCAAAAGAGATTGATTTAAGATACAACCTACTCCTATAAATTGTGTCCTGTCTCATTAACATAACTGTCTCTAATCCTGCATCATTAACATCATAGAGGTTAGGATTTACAACACATAAGATCACAAAATGGAGGACAACCACACAATACTGGCAATCATGACCTAAACAAGTTGACACTCATTTTTTGGGGGGACACAATTCAATCCATAACATTCTACCCTTTGGTCTCCCAAAATTCATGTCCTTGCCACATGTAAAATACTTTCACTCCATCATATCATTCCAAAAGTCCTAAAACAACTCCAAGTCCAAATTCCATCCTAGGGCAAAATTTCTCTTCATCTGTGAAATCTAGAATACAAGTTATCTGCTTCCAAAGTACAATGGTGCAAATACAATGGTGCAGGGTAGACATTTCCATTACAAATGGGAGAAATTGGAGGGAAAGAAGGAATACCAGACACCAAGCAAGTCAGCAGAACATATTACATTAGCTCTCAAGGCCTGAAAATAATCCTCCCTTCTCTGAGACCATTTAGGAAATGGCCCTGCCCTCCAGAATTTGGGCGTTGGCCACACTCTCAGGATTATGGGTGGAGGTCCCTTGGCCCTGGGCTTCAGCTCTGCCTTCCATGCCCACCGGAATGTAACTCTGCTCTCTCAGCCCTGGTAGGTCCTGTTCTTCTGCCCCTTGGTTATGGCAGCCACACCCTCTGAGTTCCAGCCCCATTCCACTGGCACTCATAAAGGCAGCCTCACACTCTAGAACTGAGTTGGTGAAGATTTGACTCTTTAAAACCTAGAAGGCTGTGGCCATACCCTTTGAGACCCTTTGAGACTTCAGAGGTTGTGGCCCTACCCTTTGTGACAGAGGCAGCTCTGCTTCCTGTGTTCCTTATCTCTTCACCTTCTGCTTCCTGATTCCTTGGCCTCTTGGGCCATCAGTGTCTCAGGCCCCTTGGGACAGCACGGCATCTGCTCTGCTCTGGTAAGTGTTTCAAAGCTCTTTAGCTCTACCAATAAGTGTCTGGAGCCACCCCACTCCATCAGGAAGCCTCCTGCCTGAAGGCACTCAGCTCTCTTGCTCCCTGGGTCAGTTCCTGCTCCATCTCGTGCTGGTGTCCTGGTTCTGCTGCTGCTGTTTCTTTGCTTCTGCTTCTCACTGTCTGAGTCATCTCCTTTGTTACAGGTCTCCTCATTGCTTTCTGAGACCTCACCAGAATTGTCTTTGATGTCCATAATTCCACCAGCAGTCTCTTTAAGGCAATCTAGGCTTTTACTATTAGGCACTTTAAAACTCGTCCAGCCTCAACCCATTACTCAATTCCAAAACCACTTTCACGTTTTAGATATCTGTTAGAGCAGTACCCCACTCCCAGTACTAAATTCTGTCTTAGTCATCAATATTCCCCAAGGTCTTAGAATTTCTCAGCTCCAGGACCCCAGATCCAAAGGACAAGCTCCACTCCTGGCTCTTCATTTTTGGCATTAATGAGGCCCTTCTCCTCTCTGTTCGCTTCTCTTTTTTATGTATGCAGTAGGATGGATTACTTTTGTGTGGCCTTTCTAGCCATGGTCTTGTAGTCCCCACCCAAGTGACTGGGTGGGACTGTATGAAGGGGTTATCATGGCCCACCAAAAAGATTGGTCAGTTTTGCCATCCCACTGGGTTTAAAATGAGCCACCCCAGAGGCGGGAAAGAGAAGATCCCAATACCACGAAGGAAGAACAGCCAGGAGCCAGTGTTACTGAATGCAGTGGGTTCGCCGCCTGTACTCTTGTTAAGAATAACTAACAGTCATGAGGATTTGAGACAAGGCATGGTTTATTGCTCACAGCAAGCCAGGGGAGTCGTTCTCAAAGCACTGTCTCACTGAACAAAGGGTTGGAGGAAGTTTTATACTACGCAGGAAAGGAGAAATCACACATATTCATTAAATGTCTGGGAAATGGCAAGCATATTCAAAAAGGGGTGTGGGGTTGGCATGTAGGCTGTGCACACAATAGGTGGCTCAAGATGGTGGCTCATGTTCCTTCAAGAAGGCTACTTGTGTACTTTTGGCATCTGTGTGTTCCCAAGAAAATGGTGGAGTATACTGAAAACATGGTGACCGGGTTCACCTTCCAGTCACCTACTGTTTCATGGTGCATGCATGAAGTCTGGTTTTAGTCAGTTGCCTTAAAAACAACTGTAAGCAGGAAGATTAGAAGGAAACAGGGTGGGGTGACTCATTATCTTGGTTGCAAGATGCTGTTTGTATTTGCTTGGAAGTTTTCTACTGACACAGCTTGTCGCTTGAGGCCTATCTAGCTCCTAGTTGGTCTCAATTCCCCTGAGAAATTCACACTCTTCATTCTTGAGGGGTTTATGAATGGAGGTCTCTTCTTTTAAAGCTACTTTTTGCTGACATGGGGCGCAGAGGCCTAAAGGTTAGAGGATTGGAACTCTCATGCTGCCTGAGCTAAACTGTCATATCTTCCTTGGGTCTCTAAAGGTCCTTCATAAGCTGGCTGTGTCTCTTCTTGGAGGGGAATGGGCTGGAATCCCTGTGCAACCATCATCTGAAGGTGAAACTTTGTAATCTGGAGGATACGAACTTGACAAGTAAGTTAAACAGGCGAGGACCAAAAAGAAGTAACAGCCGGATGGTAATGAGCAGACCAAGTAACTGAAGGGAGAAGGTTCTTCACAGCTTGTCATGTGTCTATTGTGCCTGGTCTTTGATTTAAGCTGTGAAGCTACTTAGAACATTTGCCACATTTGGTCCCCACTCACATCTCCCAGTGTTACTGTTAAGATGACTGTCAGTAACAGTTATGTTTTTTGATGTGTCGTTAGTGTACATTACTTTGGCACTTTCATTATTGAGCTGATGCAATTTCATATGTAATATCACTTTTTGTTCAGTGTAAGTGAATTTCGAGTAAAATTTCTCATTTCTGGATCCACTGGAGTCCACCAGCTTAAATCAACAGTTTGAAAACATGCACTTTTATTACTGTCATGCCTGGTGTCAGCTGGGATGGGTTTTACTTGAAAGATACTTACTTTGATGTCTTTAGGTGCCAAATAGGGTTGTGTCTTGTTATTGTTAACGTACCCATACTTTACAGGTACTGGTTGTCCTAATATTAGGATTTGTTCTCCTGGGTTTTCAATCTTTGAATGACACACCCAACAGTTGGTAAATTTTCAATCCATTAGCTATTGTCCTTGAGGTGGAGACAACATAATTGTGTCTCTACCTGTTGTCTCTTACTCTTTTTTTTGTTGGTCTCATGGGAGGGGAGACTCCCCACAATATAGAGAGGAGGAACAGTGAAGCCAATTTCATTTTTCTTTTACTATTAAATCTAACAAGCAACTATGAATACAAGAAAACTTAGTCAACCTATTAGAAGCAATATCAGTCCTAATATCTGGCTTATATTAAGTAATTAGAGAGTGAAATAGTCTAACACAAATATGTCTATTAGTAGCAAGAGTGTAATTGCCCCTCTTATCACACTTAGAACCAACATTTAAAAGTAGTAATGTAATCTTTTAACATCATGGGGCGTAGAAGAGTCTGAGAAGAGGAGTCACACAGGCAATAGCTAAGATGAGACTCAACCAAAGAATCAGGACAGAAAGAATTCTTAATATTTCTAAAAGACTTATTTTTATGATATTTCTACCAGTCCTTGTTCTGCCTTTGAACAGTCACTAAAGTCCTTCAACTGGTTCACAGGTGTAGTAGGAATCTTGATTCACAGGAGGTCCATTAGGCTTTTCTGGTGGAGAGAAAGGTTGGACTCGAGAATGATGGACTAGTGGAGTGACTCCCTTTAGCCTGAGAGCAGAAGGAGGTGTTCTCTGGATTTTCATGTTCAAAAGCAAATAACTTCTGGGAGTCAGGGTGTAAGGGTACGCAGACGAAAGCATCGTTTAAATCTAACACTGTAAAGTAAGTAGCAGTGGCAGGTACCTGAGTAAGCGGGGTATATGGGTTAGGGACCAGCGGGTAAATAGTTTCTAAAGCCTCATTCAGGGCTGTTAGATTTTGCACAATCGATACTCTCTATTACGCTTCTTGACAGGTAAAATGGGGTGTTACAAGGGGACTGGCAAGGTTCATTAAGTCCCTGTCTGATGAGCTCTTCTAATACTGGCTTAATCCCGGCTCTAACCTCTAGCTTAGGCAGGTATCGTTTGTGCCAAGGGGGAGCAACTCTGGGTTTCAGTTCAACCCAGACTGGTCCAGCACTGTTAGCCCTCCTGGGCTCGTTCACATCCCAGACTAAAGGGCTCACCTTTTCCAGGATACATTGAGGGATATTAAGGGTCTTTTGTGTAGAGCTTTCTGCCTCAAGGAGAGCTAAAATTCCTGTTCCTTGACTCTTACCTATTTCTATGGTGACTCAATCTCCAGACAGGAAAACAGTAGCCCCTAGTTTATTTAACAGGTCCTTGCCAATAAAGTGACTGGACATTTAGGTACATACAGGAAAGAATGAGATAGAGTATGTGTTCTCACCTCACATGCTAAAGGGAAGGTAAACCTCTCAGTCTGGGACCACTCCAAGACTCTTGTTATCGCACAATCCTGATTAGAGAGTTTGCCAACAGGTTTGTTCAAGAAAGAGTAGGCTGCTCTCGTGTCAAATAAAAATTTAGTTTTCCTACCTGCCACGTTGAAGGTAACCTGAGGTTTCGCTTCTCCACGGGAGCTAGGTGGTCCCCTGGGCCTTGTCCTTCAGAGAGAGAGTTGTGGCATTTGCAGTTTGAGGCCACAGCTGAGGTAGTGATCGGGTCGTCCCGGCTGAGGACAGTTCAGACACTCCCTTTTCCTGTGTTCTTCCTTTTTGCAATATGCACACTGTTGGGGCCTCAGCTTTGCTGGAGGCCCTGAAGGGCAACTCCAAGGCCTGTTTGATCAGGTACTTACCTGTGACAGCCCTGGTCCCTGGGGGTTACCTTGAGGTGGTCTCTGAATAACTGCGGCCAACAACTGGGCCTTCCTTTCCATCCTTTTATCCCTCTTTTCTTCCTCTACCTTATCTTTGTTGTTGAAAACCTTAAAGGCTTACTTTACCGGTTTAGATAATGGGGTCTGGGGACCGGTCTCCACTTTTTGAAGCTTCCTTCTAATATCTGGGGCACTCTGGGTTACAAAGTGCAGACCCAGCAGAGGGGTGGCCTCTGGTGACTCTGGGTCTATACTGGTAAATTTCTTAAAATTCTCTGTCAGCCTAGAAGGTGGTCACTGGGTTCTCATCTTTTCCTTGGGTTATTTCTTTGATCTTTGAATAGTTAACTGACTTATGGACGCACTTTTTCATTCCCTCAACCACACAGGTTACAAAATGTTTCATTCTTGCCCAATCTAGTCAGTCCTGGTAGTCCCACTGAGGATCAGTTCCAGGAACTGTCTCATCCCCTGGCCTCAAAACATTGTGTTTGGGGTTGGTGGGGACAAAGCTGTCAGCATGTTCTCTTGGCTTAGCTACTATCCAACTCTTCTTATCAGTAGAACAACAGGTGGTCAGAATTACTATCACATCCTGCCAACTGAGAATTGAAGTTAAGACTAAGCTTAATGAATTCCTCTCTAAATTTCTCTGGGTCTTCTGAAAATTTGCCCAACTTTTCTTTACATATACTTAAACCTGAAACTCAAAAAGGGACTTGTACCTGGACCACTCCGCCCTGCCCATCCACTAGGTTCTTAGAGAGAAGGGTAGAGATTGCGAAGACAGAGAACCATAGGAGTGGAAGGGAATTCATTAGGGCCTGGCACAAAAGACGCCTTAGGTCCCGAGTATGGGGTAATGGGAAGGTGGGGCGGATGGGGTGTTCAGGGCCTGATCAGAAGCAGCAGGAAGGGAAGGGTTAGCAGGGAGATATGCTGGAGGATCAGTGGGGGTATTGTTGGGGCCAGCGCAGGGCCTCAGTTAAGAAAGGGGTCTTTCAAAGAGTCTGGTTCCCCAGATCCCTTTGGAGGCTTTTTTGATTGTTCCCTGGTGGCTAGGGCCACGCGGGTTAGTTTGCATTTGGGTTGTAACCCCTTGTTCTGGTATAGAGCCATAAAAGCTTGAACGTAGAGGATCTCATCCCATTTTTCTTCTTTTTTGCAAAACAAATTTAGCTGAAAGATGGTATAAAAATTAAGAGTCTCGTTCAGGGTCCACTTCTCCTGGTCAGCAAGGGTATACTGAAGCCAGGCAGCGTTACAAAAAAGATAAGCTTCTTCCTTTTTAGCTGATCATAAGAGAAAAACTGCCAATGCTTAATAAAGTATCCCAAGGGAGAGTCCCCTGGTATGCTTTCTTGGTTTCCCATTTTGCTCAGTTAATTGTTTCCAAGAGCCTAGTTTCTTACTCTTATGGGTTGTTGATACCACCAACTCCTTTTTTTTTTTTTTTTTCCTAGTCCGCCAGAGGTTTATCTGGCATTCCTATTGAAGCCAGGAGTTTTCCCAGCTTTGGGAGAGAACTTCCCTCTGGAACCGCAATACTCCGTCCAGAGCGTCTTCCGGATTGTGTCGCTGAACCCACCCTAATCTATGAATTAGTTCTCCCGGGACATCTCTTTCCTTTGACCAATCTATAAATTTCCAAGAATCTGTATACTTGTGTTCTAATTCAACCAGAATTTCTTTCCACCAGTCAATGTCCATGTCCTAAATCAGATCCAGGAGGAGGGGTTTCAATCTTCCAATCTAGTGAGATGAGATGTCTACATCCACTCTGAAAACCAGAACCAGACAAAGCTGGAGGGGCTTCAAGCTGGAGGGGCTTCAGTCTCTCAGTCTTGACAGAGATGTCTACGCCAACCTCCCAGAACCAGGGTGCACCTACCAAAGACAAACATAGAGAAACCATACCTGCCTTTTAGCCAAATTGAAAGTAAACACTCGGAGTCAGAACTCACCAAGCCTGAGGGGTGCTGAACAAAAAGAGTACAGGTGGCCACTTCACTGGTCCAGGGATAGTTTGGTCCACTCCAGTAGTTGACTCTAGACATTTAATTGGGTCCCATCTGGGTCGCCAGGCAATTTGTTACTGAATGCAGTGGGTTGCCGCCTGTACTCTTGTTAAGAATAACTAAGAGTCATGCAGATTTGAAACAAGGCATGGTCTATTGCTCGCAGCAAGCCAGGGAGGTCGTTCTCAAAGCACTGTCTCACTGAACAAAGGGCTGGAAGAAGTTTTATACTACACGGGAAAGGAGAAGTCATACGTATTCATTAAATGTCTGGGAAATGGCATGCATATTCAAAAATGGGTGTGGGGTGGGCGTGTAGGCCGTGCACACAACAGGTTGCTCAAGATGGTGGCCTCTATTCCCCTAAGATTGCTCCTCCTGTACTCTTGACATCTGTGTGTTCCCAATAAAATGGTGGCGTATACTGAAAACATGGTGACTGAGTTCACCTTCAAGTCACCTACTGTTTCATAGTGCATGCATGAAGTGGTTTTAGTCAGATTGCCTGAAAAACAACTGTAAGCAGGAAGATTAGAAGGAAACAGGGTGGGGTGACTCATTATGTTGGTTGCAAGATGCTGTTTGTATTTGCTTGGAAGTTTTCTATTGACACAGCTTGTCACCTGAGGCCTATCTAGTTCCTAGCTGGTCTCACCAGCACATCCTTTGGACGTGGGATCCCTGCGCTTAGAAGCTCCTGGAACCAGAAGACAGACAGACAGAGAGAAAGAGCTGTAACACTGATGGCAGCGAGAAGCGGTAGCAGAGACCCAGCAGCAAGAGATGGCATGGTGGGCTTCCTGGGCCAGGAAGAGAGAAAGCTGAGTGCCTTTGGGCAGAGGCCAAGGGCCAGGGAGAGTTGTGCCTGTGGGCATCGCTGAGAAGAGGCTGTCTTGAGGGAAAACTGTATCCTGAATGTTCCTGAATTTCAATATTAACTGTTAGTTCCCTAATAAACCCCCATAATCATGAGTATAGTCTGTGAGCTCTGTGTAGCCGCTGCAATGAATTACTGAACCCAGAAGAAAAGTAGAGAGTGCCGTGGGAGAGACACCTAGTGTTGAATTGGTAAAGATGGTGGAGAGAGGAGGCATGTCTGACCTCTGCCTCACAGGAATCAGCCTTGAGCTGTTGATCTTGATTCTCCTTCCCTCTTGTGAAGTTAGAGGAGGTCAGACACTGCTCCCACACCATTTTTACAATATCTCAAAAGAGACTGACTCAAGATACAACCTAATCCTGTAGATTGTGTCCTGGCTCATTAACATAACTGCCTCTAATCCTGCGTCATTAACATCATAGCGGTTAGGATTTACAACAAATAGGGAAATTACATCAGATCACAAAATGGTGGACAACCACTCAGTACTGGGAATCATGACCTAGCCAAGTTGACAAACATTTTTGGGGGACACAATTCAAACCATAACACCCATTGGCACTGAGTCATACAATATTATCAAGGTAATACAATTAAAATAATATGTTAAAGTTGCATAGCATCAGACTGCCATTACTGTTTGAATAAATTGGACTTTCTATGACCAAGATGAAATGTTATCCAAGAGAGGTGAAAGCTAGCTGTGGAATGTGGGAAAACGTTCGACAAACCCATAATTATCATAGCAGTGGGTGGTTTATTTATTCAAGATGTCAGACAACATGTAAAGTAAAAAAGCAGAGTAAATACTGTTGACAGAGCCAAACGATTTACATTATTGACCAACTCCAAAAACACTTCTCATGTATTCCTAGTTTAGAAAAGCTTGCTGGTCACATATTGCAGATTTTAGCCACAGTTACACAATGTATTTTATGATCACATGCATTATCTAGGATGATTTTAGCTAGGTGTAATTAAAAACAAACAAACTAATTCAAACGGGTTTAAACTGTAGGAAAATGTATTGGCTAATATCATTGAAAATCCAAAGGGAGGGCAGAGTTTGAGGGTGGCTGATCTGGCACACTAAGAAGGTGATCAAGTTCCAAGTTCTTTCTATCTCTCTGCTCTGACCTCCGGAGTCATCTTACTTCTAAGATTAATCCCCTACTTGGTCCCAGGGTGGCTAACAAAAACAATTGAGGATATTTGTGTATTTTTCACAGCAAAGGTAAGAGAGAAGGTGGCTTTCAGAAGTTCTTCTAGAATGTTGAACAGAAACTTTCCAACATTCTCCCTGCAAATCACTGTCAGAGACTTAATATTCTATATGTTGCCTGTGCATATCTCTGAGCCAAAAAGCAAAAGATGGCAGTGAAATTAGCATTAGAATTACCAGGCTCAACTTTGAAGCTTTCTCTGAGAGGCACATAAGCTACCCAGACGAGATGTAGGTACCTAAATAATATTAGAATTCACTTTGGAGGGAGAAAGGAGGTAACAGATTCTGGCAAGTGAACAACATGTCCACTATACCATCCTAAAGGGGAATATATTAATACATATATTTGATGTCTGTGCACATATAAGGAAAAAAAAAGTAGTAACCAAAAAGACACTTTCCAATGATCCAGTTTATAGTTCACTTGTTGCCAAGTGGTAGATATGACTCAAGAAGTTCAAAGACATGCTAATGAATGGGGTTTTCCTGCCTGGCACTCAGTGGGACATTCTTGGCTTCATTAGGCTTCATTAGCTGCCCTTTAAGCTATGCCGTCTTAGTCTGCCTGGAGCCATATCATTTTCTCTGAGCAGAGTTCTCTATCTGATGGCATGGCCCTGATATTCTCAAACTTTTAAGTAACTAAATCATTTGAAACAGAATGCATGATGTTCCTGTCAGGTGGGCTCAAGGCTTGCCCCACAAAATATACACCCTAATCTTCTAGAGCACCAGTTCTTTTTTTCTCTTCAAATTTTTGACTGGCCTGGTGCTTAGTAGACAAGAACTTTCTCCATCCTTCTAGAATCTCAGGCCATAATTAAATGGAAATAGGTTTACAGCTCATTCAGTAATTTTTAAAAATATGTTTCATTTTTTCATTAGTCTTTTCTACTATAATGCAATAGCTGAATAACTAAGAACCTCAAATTATCAAACGTTAAGTTAAAAACAATTGTTTTAATGGGCAGAAAAGGTGTTGAGCACTAGATAATTTGAGAATAGCTCTAATCAAGTTATTTACTCAAAGATGTTTCAATGTTAAAGGAATTTTAGCATTTTTAGAACACAAAGTCCAAACATCATTGATCAAGTCCAAATCAATCATCATAGTGTTTCTTATATGTACCAAAAAAAAAACCAAACAAACAAAAACCAAACCCGTTGGGGTTGAGTTGATCCTTTACACACATTTTTATATTACCAAAAAGTGTCACAAACTATTAAATAAATACATAAAGTATAGAGCACCCTAACTTAATCAGCTGAATCATATTCAATCCGGGTAACATAAAATAACCTACTCTTGGGGGAAAAAATGCCTAGAATGGATTTATGTTAGATCTCCCTTTTTATTAGTTATGGTAAAGACTAAAGGAAAGACATCCAAAAATGCAATAGCTTTAATGCAGATAGAAGTTTACTTCTCTCTCATATGTGAAAGTCCAGGAAGGGTAGGCCAACTTGGCTCTATGACATTCAGAGGTTGTGACATGACAAGTGGGGCCACTCTATCATTCCTCAGGGCATTGTCCTCATCTGCACATTGAGTCACAGCCATGTCCAGGTCCCACCAGTAGGAAGGAAGGAGAGCATGGAGGAGCACTCATGCAGCGTTATAAGACCCAGCCTGGAGGTGGCACAAGTTTCTTTTGCTCACATCCCATCCATGAGTATCAGTCACATGTTTACTTTGGCTGCAAGAGAGGGTCAGGAAGGGTAGGCTCTGGTTACCGTTGTAATTTTATTTTATTTTTCCTATGGAGGAAGGGCAGAACCGATTCTAGAGGACCAGTAGCAGTATCTGACAAAATATTTATAAACACTGACATTTTGAACTTATTCTGTCATATACCTGAATTTGAAAAATTAAGCCAACTTGAATTTTATAAGTTTGAAAGAAAAAAATTAATTAGATTCAATTGAACAATAGATTATTGTCAATTAATTGTTAGGTCATTTCTTAGTTGTTATAGTACTCTTTGATAAATAAGTTCTGAGGAAGAAAACTAACATCATTTGTTAAAAAAAAAACACAAAAACAAAAACAAAAAACTCAAAGTGTCCTTTAAACCTAAAAAATGGAATCCTCCTGGCTTATGAGCAGAGCTAAATGATTAAGTGGTCTAACCATTCAGACTCCCGTGACTACTCTCATCACGGGGGTGGATTCAGTGATGTGTGGTGACAGCTTCAAGGCAAATACTTTGGATGCACAAACCATTTCAATTTTCCTGTTTCTCCCAACTTATTGCTTAGAATTCCTTGTTCCTCGGATACAATTTAATGTAGAAATATAAATTATTACATCTGAAAAACACATGTTTTATTGAATTTGAAATTCAGAAGTAGACTAGGCAGGTGTTTTCCTCCACAAAAAGATGAAGCATACTCACTTTTAGGGAAAATATGTTGAATGGAAAATTCTGAAGAAAAATTCCTTTTGTGTAGAGACGGTTATAGGTAGAAGCCTAGAGGATGACAAAGTCCCTCCCAGTCTAACTAAGAATACATCTTTCTAAGCAATAGCAAATTGA